ATAATGGGTGCACTTCCCGTTTTGCTTGGTTAAAAGTTTACGAAACAATGTAATAGTAAAATTCACACATCATAAACTAAGGTCATTATTGGGTGTTCGATGGGACCAAGCGTGTTAGAGCACCGGAAGTCGGAGCATGTGCAGCGAAAGTTCGGGCTGCAGAACCTAGATATCCTGGGTTTAATTTCCACCCATATCTGATTAGATCTGGATGTGAAGCATGCAGACCTGCTTTTGTGTGGCAGTACTGTGGGGCACGGAAACAATTTAAATTTTTACAGCATAAAGTATTGTCGCCATACTTCACGGTACACCGTGCTTTATGCTGTCTAAACATTAATGTTTATTTCCTTTGCCTTCGAGATCAGCCTTTTATAGGTGTATGTTTTTTCCCTATTGTAGGATGCAAGTTTGGAAGCAAGTTTAAAATATTAAACAGGTATCTTCATCAGCCATTCTTGGTTGCATTCATTTGTTGTGTATGAACTGAATACATTTATATATATAGATATATTTATTTTGGTGAAAATTTTTTGGGAATTATGAATGTCCAGTGTGCACTTTATTTTGAGGTCACTTTGTATGGAATCTTCTAAGCGCTGCCATGTGTCAGACCGGAATAACGCAGTCAAAATACAGTAAACTATTTTATATTTTGTTGTTTTATTACTTATTTTATTATTTTCTGGTATTCTTCATATAACATTTAGAACCGAAAATACCGACGTATCGGCGCCAACACGGTCTCTTTGTCACGGCTGACTGTGAAGTGGACGGTGTCTGTTCGAATTCCAGCCCGTCGGTCCGTGTGAAAATGAGGCCGATACGAGAACACAATAATGCTAATCACATAAAAAATCTGCATTGTTCTTTTAGAGATTTTAAACCTTTTTCGTGAAGTTGACTGTACTCGGGAGGAAGAATATTTTATTTTCCTTTATTTTCTCTGCAATGTTATGTCAAAATTTGATGAACAACGTGCTGGCTTTTCGGTCAATAACACTAGACATTTCCGGATAATACCCTTGACCTCAGCTCCTGCCTCAGAATCTTCCCGGTTTCTGATTTTGGTAGAGAATTCATAAAAACTACGCCTCCATACAGATGCTTGAAGGTCGCTGTTTGACATGCAAAAAACACATTGACACCTCACCAACAAGGATAATGAAAGAGTGTTTGACTAAAAATATGTGCAGCTACCAAACGGGGGCATAGTGTTAATAAATCAATAAATTTTTCCTTTTCTCTATCGTTTGCTTCAGAGTATACTACTCGTACTTCTCATGCTATACAAACATAAAATTGACCCCTATAAAAGAGTCTCCTCTCAACGGGGTCAAATCTTGAGTGAACTTATCCGCCCTCCTAGGCACCGCTAAAGCAAGGGATGATGTCCAATTCCCGTTGAAACTAGGAATATGTGGCCGATAGCGTGCTTATTCTTGTAGTTTATAGATTGGAGATGGGCAGGGAGGGGAATGTTTGGTGGGATTGTAGCGTTAGCGTTCTGACATATCTTTTATTTATACGCACGTACAAGCGAACCTTTTTTTTTTATTATGTTGGCCCGGGGGGGGGGGGGGGGGGGGGGTAAAGCGGGGCATTCTAACGTGTTAGTTTGTTATGACATTATATTATGACCTTTACATCCACCACTGCAAAGAGAGGATCCTTGAATTTTACGTATGCCTTTCTCTGCCCGCCACACACACACACACACACATATATATATATATATATATATATATATATATATATATAGGGTGTTTTTTTATTCTTACACATTTGTTGAAAAAAACCCGTGAAAGCTACAATAATGCTGTTTGTGCAGGTGGGTTATACGGCCAGGCGGACATTATGTGGGTGGCTAATCTTTGCGATAAGTCGGCTAATTAATTAAAATTCGTTAATTAACTTTTTAATTACTTAAAATAAACATATGGTTTCAATTAGAAAATTGCTTAGCATCATCGAAAACCCCTAAATCAACTATTTTTAGCAGGATATAACGCCGGGGCAGCATCATACGGCGTTCTGTAAAAACGCTCTATTTGGACGCATTTCCAGATTTCGGTTTCTTATCGGAGCGCATCTACGCGCCCGCGATCCTGCTCCCCGGTGGTCGCGACGCGAAGCCACCTCCTCACCTCCCTCGTAGAATGGAGGCAAGTACGGCGCACGTGTGTTCCGCGACGAGCGATTCGGAGGAGGAATAATGGCAGGTCACGTGACCCGACGTCACCGGAAGTGACGTCACAAATATAACGTCACGTGACAAAAAAAATTTTGTTTTGCTTGTTTTGGTTTGTTTTGTTTTCTGTGACGTCACGGTTTTTAGCGAGGAAACTTTTTGTTATTTTTACTTTGTTGACGTATTATTTTTTTTTTGTTTTGTTTATTTTCTTGCTTTTTGCAACCGTGTGACCGCTTTTCTGCGCTACAGACTGCATTTTTCTGACTCCTTTGTTTGATATCGTGTCGTATCGTCGTATTTATGTAGTTATTAGGAACGGCAAGCCTACGTTGTTGCGTCCTTTACCTGAATATCGTGACCGAATCGAGTGTCGTCGATTTGAATCGTGTCTTGCGAACCATCGTCGAACAAAAGGTGAGTGATTTACGTTTTCCTGTGATGTGATTTCGATGTGTTCGTTCCACGCGTCCGAGCTGCTTCTTCGTTTCAAGTACATTTGGCACCGCTGCCTATTGTTTGAGCCTGTGCTCACGATTAAAACACGCATCGCAGAAAGCTGAAAGCCCGCCAAAAGAGCTCTAAAAACCGCATGCCTCCGACCCCAGACCTGCCGGCAGACTTCCGAGATAAGCCCGATTAAATAAAAACGTTTGATCCGACGGAATAATCTGTTTAATATTACATCCCATGTCAACAAGGAACTGCGCTGTCTGTCTTCGCCCCTACAGGTTTTATTCTTCCGGGGTTTTCAAATCTTTACCAACCCGCGTCCGATCGTAATACCCCGATCACAACAAATAGTTGGTCGTGCTCCGATGGCTCCTAACATCAGCCGGCAAGGAAGTTACGTTTTTCGCTTCTATATTTTGACCCAAGTAACCTCATATTCTCAAACTATGTCATTCTATCACCACCTCCAGTTGCACTTTCTGGCGCACTTGCAGCTTCGTGCACCCTTGCGAGGTTTCCTGCTATCTGGATATCATGGATTTCTCGCCGTACGCGAGTGCTCACGGAGGCGTGCTATACACTCTGTATCATAAGTTGTGTGCAGAAAAGGCGCAGGCCCGAGCACATGACAATAAAAAGCGCCTTTTTTGCCCGAGTACCCGCGCAAAAAGAACATTCTGCAGAGCTGCGCCCTCGCACCCGTGCCTTCGCTGCACACAACTTATGAGACAGTATAATAACCGAGCCGTTTTTGTTTCTTTTGCACATTACTGTGAAAGAAGTGTCATTGCTGTTTTCTTCTCAAAGAAAACTCGGAGACGTTAGACAAAAGCAAACAGATAGGAGACTGCACATTCACACGTTTTTCCCCCTTGTGCTACAGGTCATGGCTGGTCGCGGTTCATCAGCGTTTGTTTTGAAACTGATGGGTGCCACAAGGCATGAAAGAGGTGACTTGCAGCAGCAAGACACCGCAAGCCTTCGCAGCAACTGGCTAGCCAGTGCTGCTCTGTTCTGAACTGTACTGCGTGTCATGCGGAGGGTTTGTGCAAGCTCTCTGGGCGGCGACGCTAGCCACGGTAAGTGCATTCTATGCAGCTTTCTTTTAGGGATATATGTGGCTCGCAGGCCATGTTGTGCCAGCGAAATATCTGCCACCCGAGTGACAGCGGTGCTAGTGGCAAGGCTGCGCTGACAGTAATCAACACTGCACTGTGTTTTCATTTTATAACTAGTGACAAGGAACCAAATGCTCCCGAGAGAGTCTCGGTTGTGCTTTGATGAACTCCAGCTCGCTTATGAACAGGTGGATGGCACAGATGGCTTTTCCTGATGGACTTGGTGTCCGTGTTAACAATGCAACCAGACTTTCTTTCAGTTTGTGACGTTTTTTCGTTGCGGGTGACTAGCATTGCAGTAGAAAAAGATGCAAAATAGTATAATGTTTGCATTCGTTACCTAAATTAATGGCAAGAACAACTGACCTACATTTCCGCCGACTGCATTTCTCTGAGGAATCGCCTGGACTAAAAAGCTCGCTACACTATGTCGTTCCCTCTTAGCCTGTACAACTCTGCGTCTTCCCTCGATTGTCTTATGTGGCTGCTTCTGTGTCTGCCTAGGCACTCGGTTGAAATGGGAAAAGCTGTATGCGTTGCACATAACCGCCATAAGAGCCAGCGTGGGCGTAGCTGGGGTAGCCCCCGCTATGGCTTCTCCAGCTCGACACAAGTAACATTCCTACCGCTGTCGTGTTAGCAGAAAACGGACCTGCTTAAAACGTACAGTGCACGTAGTACACAATGGAGAGGTTGCTCGCCAATCATTTTCTTGGAAGTGTGAGTTGAGCCCCTTTGAGGCAGTTTGCTTCCGCACCGTGCACTATAATCCGCCCGAGAAAACAAGATGAATAACCAGTAGGATTTCTTTGTTCCAAGGCTTCTTGACGCAGAAAAAGACTAGGGAACCAGTATTGTTGCTTTTTACTACCCCGTGCGAGACTCAAACCCGACATGCAAGGAAGTGGAAAGGCCTCTTCCTTTCTGCTTTCTTGTGCCTTGGGCTTTAGCTGTGCTCACAATTCACAGCTCGCCTGCATGCCTACTCTTTTGTTCACTGTGTTACTGAAGTTTTCTGTCGTTGCTGTCCCAAATTGGCTTCGAGGATGCACAAAAATACTCAAGGCGCTTGACGTCTGTGGCTCATTTTTTTTTCCCGGTACCACGGCATGAAGGAGCTGGCCTCCCTCCCTTCCGTCAGCTGCAATATACTACAAGCACTGGGCTACAGCTGCAGCTAGCCCATGGGTACTGTTCTGCGTCCTGTACTGCATCTAGTTCGAAAGGCCATGTGAAAGGCAGGTGTGGTCTTTATGGGCTCTGTCAGTATGTGCATTTTCTGCAGCTTTTTCGGGGCAACTTCATATTAAGGTTCAATATGGACTCGAGTGAGAGGGGGGCATTCTGAGAAAGCCAGCCTCTTTGTTAAACCATTGGGACTGGTATTATATCTATAGAGTTTATTTACACCTTACGTTATGTACTTTTTCATTTATTTTTATTTTACTAGTTACTTATACTTCAATCTGACACGACAGCCACCAAAAATGTTGACATATTGGCCTTTTTTTTTCTGTCAGTTTGTTTGAAGAGCCAATGTTGGGGGCGGTCATTCATGTTATATTTCCCACACGCACGTCCAGCCTATGTTTACGTAAAGCCCCAATTGCCCCTTAGAAACAAAAATAATTTATGCGACAGACTACACGGCAGCATTGTGGACGAAAACAGGCCAGATTATATCTGCCATGTTTAAAAACTACATTCGGTGACAGGTTATGAATTCAGTGGCAAGAATGCACACCGCCTGCCAATCACTGCCGTCAGTTGTCCTGACGTCATGTCTGCTAAGAAACTAGTATATATTTTTTTTAAATGGCAGGTTTTCGTTGCTGATGCCACGTAACATGTCGGCACTCTAAGCAATTCTTCTGCTCTTGGCCTCTCCGGTTTTACCTTGCGAGGTCATGACGGTGTCTGCTTTTGTTTGCGGTATTTCCCGTGTGTCGACGTGAGAAGGCAGCGGTTGTATCGCCAAGGAAGTAGCAATCAATCTGCGCGCATTTGTTCCAGCGGCACAGCGTTTACAAACCGGACTTTGCCCTTCACCGAGGGGAAAGTCTACCGACTCGCCCTACAGTTGGTGAGCATTGTGCAGCCGTGAGCGCGTAACTTGTCCGAATGCTTTCGTCTGTATACAGTGACAAAATGACTCGCTGAAATGCGAAGTACCATACAGTACCATGCCGTACGGCAAACCATCGATCACTTGCTGCAGCAACTTTGCGTTTTAAGTCGTAATAATAAAGTGATTTTTAAGGCTAAAATCATTTTTTCATACTGCTCAATTATTCGGAATTCTGCACGATCCCCATCGTGTCTGCAATATCGGTCGGTGGCTGTATAACCTTTAAACACAATGGTTACACACCACAGGTACCGGGGACCATGACATCAATGAGCTGGCTTTCACCTTGTCCAAGGCAGCAGCGGAACACTACGGGCGGGACCCTGGATCACTGCACCGTGGATGCCGTTCTGTACCCTGCACGGCACTGCGTGTGGCTTAAGTGGCCAAGCAGAGGGTCATTGCATGACTTTTATGAGGCGCCGCTAGCCATTGTAAGTATATTTTGGACACTCATGTCTGGTGTACTTTTGTGCTCTACCACAGAGCACATTTGATGGCGGTTCAGTCTTGCCAATTACACCATTTTGAAACGGAACACATTTAGTGGTGGCTCGGTTTAGGTTTCCTGGATCGGTGATCTTGCAACAGTGCCTAGACTTGGCGTAAACCTTTTTGTACTTTATTGTCAAGGCTAGTGTAATTTCTGCAATGCCGTTGAAGCCACTTCTGCACGCAAACAAGATAAAAGACGAAGCCACATGCTCGTGCACAGTGTATGACTACATGTATGCATGGGCACTCGTGCCCATGCGTACTTACTCGCAACATGGAGCAAGTTTGTTTCGGCCGATACTCCTCGCGTTCATTTCGGCGTCGCCACTCGACTAGTCCATGCACCCGCTGCACCTTGAGAATCAACTGTGCACCAGAATGCACTCCCGTCATGCATCACTCAGGAGGGGAACAAGAGCAGACGACTGGGGTTTTTCCGCCATAAGGAACGAGAACCGAAAAAAAGGGGATTTTCTGCTAAGAAACTGCGTCCCACGGGCAACAAACTCGGACGCGAGCTGGGCTATTTATTCTGTGAAGCAAGCAATCGACAACCTGTGCTTCATTTTCAAGTTTTCTTTCAGTTTGTTGCCACGCAGACATTGAAATACATCAATGGGGTAAAGTAAGGTTCAGAACCAACATCAGCTACCGCGAGATCTTTCACCATCCTTGCGGGGGTGAAAAATTGGGACTTCAGTTGACAAACGTCGCTTGCCCTCCTGTCCATCACCTGACCCCATTGTGCACATGTGGGTATGCGCAAGGGAGCGTGATCATGTGGCTGAAGATACAAGTGTGACCGGCCCAACGAGCACATAGTTTCCACAGCATCGTCGGCTTAGGGGTGCACGGAAGATACTGTATAAACTGGAATATAGGTCGAGCCCTTAATTTACAAGTTGCAAGATGCAAAAAAAGTTCTTATGGCAAGAAAATGCAACCTTACCTTGGTCACAAAATTGTCCAAGTATATGGAAGGACGAGGAAACACGGCAGATTTATTTAATTGTTTTGCACTCAATAAAACAGGAAGTATGCGAGTGTTACTACTCAGATTCCTCAGAGCCTTCGTCCGACGACGAGTTCACTAGCACAATTCAAAGGGACGATGCCGTCCCTTTGAATTGCGCCCTCGAGAGCTCGGAGGCACGAGCAACCTCAACGCCTTTTATACGGATGCTCTCCGACATCACAGGTACCGATCTGGCGCACAGATCCCGAATAAAGTTTGCCACCTTAGTTTCCAATTCAGGGTACACTGCAGTCCTTCCACGGAATTAAGTTTTCTTCGCCTTGCTGCATGCCGCCTATTTTTGTCTCTGGTTTTGCCAGTAGCGTATGCGCTGCAAGATTCTTGTGGATCTCTGCATAGGCGATAGCCTTCTTCTAGAAGTCTACTGTGAACTGTCTTCTACTTCCGCTCATTATTGCTCTGGGAACAGCAACGGTAGATGTAACAAACCAAGGAGCACAAGTAAAAGTGAATCGTGACTAGTGGACGAGTGCTAGGCCATTGCAAAGAAAAACAAAATGGCGTCTTCAGGCACTCAGTGTTGCGAGATTATTTTTGTTTTTCCACTAATGACCGTCATATAAGACGAGGGTCGACTTTTCCAGGTCCAATTTCAAGAATAAATTCGACCTATATTCCGGTTTATATGCTAGTTGTGCGTAGTACTGTGGAAGCCACAGGCTGGGGAGGGGGGGGGGGGGGATTAGCAACTTTTGTCTCAATGTTGAGCGACGAGCATTAAAGGGCTACTCCACCGATTTTTTCATTGTCTCCGATTTGCTTGAAATTTTGCTAAACTAACCAACAAACATCGCGAAAATAGTATCTCAAATATTAGGTCAAAATATTGTTTTTTCGCGAAGTTATTGAATTTACAGTTTTGGTCCTCACCGTGTTTTTCAAGCTCGAAGTCTCTACTGGCAACAATGAAAAAGTGACGTCAGTGGAAGGCCGGGGTTCGCTCTTTGGGCTGTAGATTTTGTTTTAAACTGATTCGAAGCAGTTTCATAGTGTCAAATGAATGCTTGGGAAGCTCGCTGCAGTACCCGCGTTCCAGCACGGAACAAATGATTGGCATATTCTATTTTTTGGCTGCTTGCTCGACTGGCAAGCCTGCCTGCCACTGACGTCACGGCCCTGAAAAGCGCGCGTATATTTGAATGTTGGTTTTTGTATCATTTTCATTTGCCGATTTCGCAATAACTATTATGAATTTCGCGATTCTAAATAGCATACCGGAGAGAGTAAAGGCCGGGGAGTCAGAAAATATAGTTAGTTGAGGTAGCTCAAAAAATCGGTGGAGTACCCCTTTAAAGGGGCCCTGCAATCATATTTAAGCGTTTACCTTTTTTGCGGTTTCCGCGTCTCTTGGGGTTCGGGCAAGCCAGCGGGCACGGAAAGAGTAGCTAAATATCAGTGCGCCATATTTTAACCGGACGACACGGAAACCTCCTCCACCGACGAGGGCGACCCGCGGTACCGAAAGCGCGCAAAATGTGACGTCTTTGGTCCTGGGCTTACTACTGGTCAGAGCCACTAAAAACTTCTTTTTGGTCGAAATACAAAATATAAGTGGCGCGAACCGTTTCAATTATTTATAAAAGTAGTTTATGTTCACTATTATAGATGAAAAAAAGAAAGAAATGCAGTTTATAAAGTACGGAAACAGGAAATGACTCGTCGACATACCCGCCGTCAAGCGGTGGCAAAGGCGGCGCATATTAGAAAGGAGTAGTGGGATAAGGCGCAGACACGGAGAAATCCCGGATGTACGCGGTGGTGCTGCAGTCGTATGGACAGGAGGATCCGACCGGCTCCGAGCGTTCCGAAGGCCTTCGGCGAGAGGCTTTGTCTTGCGGTTTGGCCATTCCGCGGTATGGCAGCGCGAAGTGGCTCCCATTCTGAACTGATCTTTACTCCGTGTTTGCTGTTGTTTGTGACCAATGAAGTGTCATGCCGAATTAGTGTTTAATCGCGCAGCAAACGCAATGAAAGCCGCTTTGGCTGCCCGCTGCATATAGCCTATCCAGAACATGCTTTAGTGGCGCCGTCGACACTGAGTGCGGCGGCCGTGAGCGCTCGATGAGCTCACTATTCCTCCTCTAGTTCACGGCCACTCAAGCCAGGGCCTACGACGTCATGAAGGAGGTTATTTTTTGCTTGTTTTTGTAATTCTAAATTGCCTATAACTTTTAAAGTAAAGCGAATTTCGCGAAAAGAAAAGTTTCACTAAGTTACTATGTTCAGTGCGCTCAGGTTCGGTGCAAATTGAAAAAACAGTTAAAAGTCCTTGCAGGGCCCCTTTAAGGGCCAATTTCCTAGGGGGAGAATGGTGACGTGCAAGTACAAACATGAGGATCCAAGCGCCATGAGCAAGAGGGGAGTTCCTCCTTTTCCTCCTCTTGAACTGCTAGAGGTATACTTACGCCCCTGTACCTTTGGTAACACTGCACAATTTGTAAGTTGAGGAAAGCTAAGAAGGAAGTTGAAGAATCAATTCATGGCCCCTTTGACATTTACCTACACTAGTTATCTTGCACCATTATATTTTGTTTGAGAAAGCTCTCATCCTCACCTCTCCCATAAGGGATAAAATCAGAAGTGTATACAACGATCGGAATCTAAAGTGCCACGAAACCTATTGCTGGACATTCTAACGGGTTAGTGATCAATTTTTGTATGAATGAGGCCTTACCAGTGCCTTTGCCTCAATAGTGTGGTAAAAGGGCAATTTTCTTGTTTGTGAACACAAATTTGTTTTGAAACATAACTTGCTGGACTACCAATGCATGTTTCAAGATCTCTGTTGTGGTGAATGTTTTGCTGCCTGTTATATTCTTCAATAGCCAGTATCGTTTAGGTTCTGGAACTCTATACAGTAAACTCTCACTTGAGCAAACTTCTAGGGACTCAAGGAAATAGTTCCCTTAACTAGGAGTCCACTAAACTGAATATATTCACTGGAATATGGAATAGCATAGGGCACAGCATACATAGAGTCAAAAGGGTGAAATGCAATTTATGGAGTCATGTACATTGATATATACAAAGTGTATTACAGTTACGCTGCTGCCTTTCTCATTTTGAAAATAGTCAATAATTTTCATGTGCACCGGCGCTCTGAAAGCGCATGAAGTTATCTTTTTTATGCATATCCTCTGGCACGGCTAGTTGCTGTGGGGAAGTCATACCGCAACGGCACTGTCCACTGGCTTGAAATCTTCTGTGCAGAGTCGTTCCCTGTTGGGATTGAACACAGTTTCTCTTTCAAGCTTCGACTTTTGCTTCACTAACGTTGACAACGTCGACGGTAGCATCCGATAGTCCTTCACAACGTTCACTTGCCTTTGACCGTCGTCCGGATGCTGAAAGTATTTCAATTTGTCCGAGAGACAACCGCTTCCATTTCGTCATACTTATTACGTAAGTGGGCACACAAACTGCCGTTGTCACCCAAAACTAAGATGGCCGAAAGGAACCAATGATAAAGAAAACAAATATGCACCGCATGGTTCGTTTTTGTCTACCGCACCGCTGCTGCAAAGGCGGCGGCGGCCATCAGCTACGCCAGCACTACAGAGCACAAAACTTCGTTGAACTGATCACAACAGTAATCCTGGGTCCACCGATCAAGTTCGTTGAACTGAAATATTCGCTATTCCTAAATTTATTTTTCGTAGAGCAAGCATTTTTGCATAGAATGCAAAGGAAAACCGCCATAGATTTTTTAAAGTTTGTTATTCTGAAATACTTGTTAAACCGACGTTTGCTCAAGTGCGAGTTTATTGCACCCGACTACTGTACGTTGCCCTACATGTTCGGGTAAGGTACTGTTTCTGTTCACCTGATGGGCACTTTCGTTCTCTGCATACACCATAGGCTTCAAACCGCCCTGAATCGTGGATCAAGCCTTGCAAGATGGAAGTTCTCTTTAGGCCCAGCGCCTTTTGTTGGATCAAGTCTTGTACGCCATTCCCTCGTGTCTTTCATATAGTAAATTGTTGGTATTTCTTTTATGACAGTGCGCATTACCTGCCAACCACGTTTTACAGTCGAAACGCAGTGTACCGAGACTTCTTTTATATAGACCCCTTTCTTTGCAAACGCCACCAGGCGGTGCTCCAGTTTGTTTGACGTCTCAGCGAACTTCTGATTCAAAACAAGAATGAACAAAACCCACTTTGACACTGCTGCCTAAAATGTCGATAAAACGTGTAACCACCAATTCTCCAGGTGAGCGCCAAAAGAATGAAGAAACGGGAGATATGTTAAAATGTTTCGAATATTTTGTACACCAACTTGCCTCCTCCAAGACATTAAATTGTACAGCCAATTGCCCTCATTAAATCTCCAACTTTGATGTATGTGTAGCATTTATGCTTTCTAGCACTGGTGACATGAACAAGCTCAACAGGCTTGCAAAGACTGAGCGACCGGAAGTCACTTGGGACACAAGCAGCAGTTCATGTTTGTAAACAGCAAAAGGGTCTAGATGAACGGCTGTACGCTGCCGTTGCCACGGCAGCTTACGCAGCCGCAATTTTTACCGAGACGCATGCGGGGAGCTATGTACTTCACATTGTTTGCGCGTGCCTTATCATCTATCTTGTGGTTTGACCCTTGTGGTTTTTTGTGGTTTGTGGGTGTGGAAAACTACAAGTGTCAAAACTATGTGATAGAAGACAAGGTGCGCCGCACAATGCTTTTCTGTCCACTACTGTTCTGTTAACAGACGGGGAAAAAAACCTGACCAACGGAGTCATATACAGCTTCGCTGTAAAATTGCAGTAAAATGCGACGAAAAAACGAATAGAACGCGAAGTGGAGAAACGAGTGACTATTTGAAGCCACCTAATGGCCGCTGTGTCACGTGATTTCAAGATCGCAGCACCCATGCGATGGAGGGTGAAAAGGTCTAAAGAATTTTAGAAATAAATTGAAGGGATGGCATAAAACCATTTGCAGGGGGGACTGCCTAGCTCGGAGCCCAAGCTACTGTTGCATTGGTAGGAATTTGGCATTAGGAAGATGGTGTGGCTGTAGCTGGCTTCAGTTGCTGCATTGGCATATGCATCTATTGACAATTGGTGACCATAGCATGCAGAATTTATTGTACAGGAGGAGAGACAGTTGTGACGAGATCAGGAGCATGGTTGTGCTTGTTTGGAGTGCTTTTCAATGTGGCTGCAGGACATGAACATAGAGTAGAGTTTTCAATAAGGACTGAATGTGTATGGCCAATATTTTCCAGCACCTAATATTTTGACAAGCCTTGCATGCAAAGGAGTTTCTTACAGCAGAGCTGTTAAGGGCTAGTTTCCCCAGAATCATGTCCGGTACCAAACAAATGTCAACACCTGTGGTCGACACAACACTGTTTGCCGCCGTCGCTCATAGATCGCGGCAACCTTTCTAGCCTTGGCAACCAGAGAACTGGTTGCTGCCATCGCTGATAGATGGCGGCAACATTTCTTAGGAGGAAGAAGAACGGAACGAGCAGTGATGTGCGCAGCAGCGCGAATGGTTCTGCTATTACCTAAAGTTCCACTGCGTCAACCGCTTCAGATTCCTTTACGAAAGAAGAGCAGATCGCTCTCCTGAAAAGCCACCACCGAAAACAGAAGCTACAGCTCCACTGCTCTTCCTTCTTTACCAGAGTAAAAAGGCTAAATTTTTTTTTTCTTCTTCTTGTCTGGAACATGGTGCTGAAGTATCAAACTGCCTCTGATGTTGCGAACAAAAAAAGATGCCACCAGAACATCTCGGTGCTAATAGTTGCCGACAAGGTGAGAAACGCAGGGCATCTTTAAACGCCCAGCCTCCAGCAAGCACTTGTTGCCTTTTCTCATGCTTTGTCTGCGCATGCATTGTTGAGGCTCGCAAGATGCCAAAGCATTGCCAAATGTAGGAGGCTCCTCCCTGCAGTTCTTGTTGTCCTACATTTGATCCTCGAGGCACACCCCAGGTTGGTAGAAAAACATGCGATAGTCTATTGAACACCTGTACACGATTCGGGCAATATGCTAGATATAGTCCCTAACGGAATGAGAATGTATGGGCGTGTCTTCCATACGCTCGGGCTCAAAGCATTTCCGAAGGTAGAAAACTCGTGCTAAAGTGAGGGCAACTGAAGCTTCACCCTGCCGTCCTCATCTTGCGAGTTGCTAGTTATTAATCCATTTTAAATGTGGCAATGCTACACCATACAATAACGGTTTTTACAAAAGTAATTTGTGGTTCATCTTATCAAAAGCTCGTTATAAATCGAAATGAATAATATTAACTTGCTTCCAAGAGAGAACAAATGGCACTGTGTATTCAAACTTACAAAATCCAATTTTTACAGAGCAACTTTCTAAAAAAAATTGCTTTCAATGGTGCTCTGTTCAAAACTGGAGTAAAAAGATCCATGTCTGTGTATAACTATCTCAAACACTTTCAAACAAACGTACAGTAAGGAAATGGGGCAGTGAATGTCTACCCTAGACATGTCACCCGCCTCCCACACACAGACTCATGTTTACAAACAAACCAGAGTGCCCCTAGCGGACGCTGCGCGGTGGACGGTGGGCAAGAAGCTCGCCGTCGCCCATAAACAAACCATTGAATTGCGTTGTCAACGTCGGTGTGAGTCCCCGTGCTCTTTTTCCATTGGAATTGTTTATTCTACGTCCTCCTAACAATGTCTGACTACTTGAGCGGCTTCAGCAAAATTAATGAGGTTCGTTGCACCGCAAAACTGCGTAAATAATGCGACGTGTGGCGATTCATTTCACGTGGACGCCTGAGAATGAGCGCAAAAGCCCGACTCCCACGATGAGTCATCTCGCTATTTTCAGTCGCGACGTCGCTCGGGCTGTAAAAGCGTAGGCCGTAGCCGAGATGGTGGACGTCAATACTGAAAACGGCAAGTAGAATCATTACAAGTCGGTGACGGCCGCTGGTAGCAATGATCAATATCTTCTTGTATCTACTTACACTTAGCCAACTTACCCCAACCAACCTTCTAAAGTGTTTCGAGGCCGGCATTTACTTATCACAATTACCGGGTCGAAACTTGGTTTACGGGCAGCTGTCGTTTGAAAGAGCAGACGACAGTTCGAACGGATGCGCAATGGAGTGCGGGCAAGAAGCGCCGCGTCCTGCGTCGACAAACCATTGGTATGTCACGTCAGCTTCCGTGTGAGTTTGCATACTCTTTTTCGTGTTGGAATTGTCGATTCTATGTCCTCATAACAATGCCTTACCACTTTAATCGCCTGAGCGAAATTATCAAGGTTCGTTACGACGCTGCACTTTGCGTAAATAATTTGACGTGCCGCGATTCATTCGCATGAACGCCGCAGAATGGATGCCGAAACCATGATGAGATTCTTCTAGCTATTTTTGGTCGCAACATTGTTTGTGCTGCAAACGTGTAAAAGGTAGCGGCGATGAACAACGTCAATACTGAAGATAGGAAGCTGGGACACACCAAGCGTAACAAGTCGGCGATGGCCACTGGTGCCAATGATCAACATCTTGTATCTACTGTTTTCACCGAGCCCACTTAAATCTTTTGAGGCTTGCAATTACTTCTTATTACAATCACCCGGTCAAAGTTTGGTCCACGGGCCGCTTTTGTTTGAACGAGCAGACGACAAAAAAGTGAAAGCCGTTTACAAGTAACTCCCTGTAACGCCGAATCGGAGCGCAGCTCTTGAGGAGGAGGAGGGAAGGGAACGGGGGGGGGGGTCATATGCCGATGACGTCATCAGTAACGATGACGCCATCAGTGATGATGACGATGAGGATGCTGGTGACGTCATCAGTGATGATGACGATGCGGATGCCGGTGACGTCATCAGTGATGATGGCGTCATCGCATCATCAGTGATGATGACGATGCGGATGCCGGTGACGATGACGTCATCAGTAACGATGACGACACCGATGACGCCATCAGTGATGATGACGATGAGGATGCTGGTGACGTCATCAGTGATGATGACGATGCGGATGCCGGTGACGTCATCAGTGATGATGGCGTCATCGCATCATCAGTGATGATGACGATGCGGATGCCGGTGGAAAGGGGTCACGTGACCTTGGTTACGCCGACGCCGCTCAAGCCAAGAACGGGCCCCTAAGAGCTGCGCTCTAAAAGCAGACAAGTTTGAACGATCAGGAGGCCGTGTGAATTTGAAGACTCGCTGAACCCCCGGGTGGTCCGGACAACATGGCGGTTTTCTCTCGTTCATGTTGGAACACAACTACATCTGTCGAGCACAAAGCGTTGCCAGCATAAGCAATCGTAGTTCGACAGCGTCTGGTTTGCCCTTGTCACGAATACTATCCACGTTTTTGGACGAATGGAGGGGCAGAAACACATGAAAACTGATCTTTAAACCTTTCCAGAGTCTCGGTACAGTTCCGTCGCAGCATGTTGACGAGAAGGCAGGTTTTTTGTCTGGTTTCTCCCAAAAGAACACAGGAATGCATGTCTTGCACCGCGACTTCTGCCCACCACCCCAGACCGAAAGTGCGCCCGACGCGCCACCACCATGGCGTGACGTAGGAGAGCTGAGTTCATGTATACCGGTACTGCAGTAGACTTTCTCCACAACAATGGAAGAGCACGAATCCTTAGGTGATATGCATGTTTCAGTGATGGGGCAAACAAATCAGTGCTGCCCTTAACAATACACAAGCACCCAAGAACAGCCTCGTTTTAATTTCTTTATTGCTTTTAACATTTCGGTGTCAACTTCCTTGACTGCTGAAATGTTCCTCTATATTACTGAAAAAAAGATGTGCTTGCATTGACGAAAGTGTGAATGTTGTGAACACATTCCTCAGCAAACAGCAGATCTCCAACAATATCTGGACCTGCTTGGCAATGGTAGCAATGTGTGTACAAATGTTCTTAGATGTAGGTCAGTTGACACACTCGGAAAATGCCCGACGCCCTTTTGAGGCACATCCGCTCAATGGCATCTGCTACACTATCAGCTCGTCCTATGGACAGATCCGGTGGAACGTTGGATGCACATTACCTGCGGTGGAAAGTGGTTTTATTGTGGTTCTTATAGTAAACATAAGGTCTGCACAATACTTAACGCAAAAAGAGTATTCAAAAAATGTTTTTTTGCTGACCGTGGAAGCATTGACGCTGTGGCGCTAAGAACGTTATCCACCCTTACCTGCTTGCATGCCGGCAACAGAAAACTGTTTTTGAATGCTGCTTTTCCGTGGAGCTTGTCAACTGATAGATCCAAGAACGTTGGCATGTATGGCCCAAGGGGAGGCATCTATTTTCCAAAGCACCGGTTTAGAAACCCCTATTTTATTGAATCCTTTCAAAAAGACACC